TCTCTCTACATCTTTATTTTTTTTTTCAGTCTATTTTTGCTGTTCAAGAAGAAGCTGAAGAAGAAGAAGAAGAAGAAGAAGAAGAAGAAGAAGAAGAAGAAGAAGAAGAAGAAGAAGAAGCAGCAGAAGCAGAAGCAGAAGAAGAAGAAGAAGAAGAAGAAGAAGAAGAAGAAGAAGAAGAAGAAAAAGAAGAAGAAGAAGAAGAAGAAGAAGAAGAAGAAGCAGAAGAAGAAGAAGCAGAAGAAGAAGAAGCAGAAGAAGCAGAAGAAGAAGAAGCAGAAGAAGAAGAAGAAGAAGAAGAAGAAGAAGAAGAAGAAGAAGAAGAAGAAGAAAAAGAAGAAGAAGAAGGAGAAGAAGAAGAAGAAGAAGACCCACCTGAAAGCTACACGAGCCCCCTTGATGACAATCTTCTCAGTGGTCCCCTCCTGCACCTGGATCATCTGAGAGGCGGGTTCGAACTTGTACTCCTTCATCATGGGCCGCAGGAAGTACTGGCCCGGGCTCTGAGGTGAGAGGAAACAAGTCGCAAAGATAGAAGAGGCGTACGTCGCACTGGCCCGGTGGACGATCATATTCAAAACCAGAAGACGGATGACAAAAATAACAGTCTAAGTTTGAATAAAAAGAAGCACATCCTCACTATAACTGTCATTAAGGGCATGGTGAAAGTAAGACTGACAGACCGGTGCAACATAAGAAATGAAAAGAATATGTGAGGCAGCGTGGTGGAATCAGGCTCTCGTCAAAATAATCAAAGTGAAGAAATTTGCATTTTTCCGCTGGTTTGTGAATTTTTATCAAATTTTTGTTTTTTGGCTCAACACCTTTCCTGCCCAATAAAGAACTCATTTCTGTGAGGATGTTTCTGGAAAGCATTGATTAAAAGAATAAAAAGTGTAAATCTTCAGTTACCACAGACTCTTAAGCTAAGGAAATAACTAATCTTTTGCGGCCATTTTCTCACTAATTTTACCTCTGAAAACAGGTGACCCCCACCCCTTTCTTTTGCAAATATCTCGACTTGTTTTCAAGATAAATGGATATTTTTTGCATAAAAATAAAGACAAGTGAACAAGCTTTAAGATGATACCAATAACTCTACAAGCCCAAAAATTGACGAGAGCCTGATTCCACCACGCTGCCTCACATATTATGACCTATCAGTGGCACCCTCCAACCACTCACCAATAATAGTAGTAGAGAATTCAGTAACCCTTAAAAAAAGAAATCAGAACAGTTTACAGTAGTCTGCTGGTTGTTAGAAAAGCATCAAAGTTCAAGAATGGTATTTTTTTTGTTTTGGGATGAGTGTTTTTACAGCGCTCGCAACTGCATAAGTTCATATGAGCACGCAGGACACAATAATAAACGTTTTCAGTGGGTAGGGAAAAGTTCAAGAATGCACCCTAGGAGGTTTCAAACCAAGATCATCCATACTGTAAGCCAACAAGCTGCCAACTTCGCACTTAGCGTTGCAAGGACTCTCTCGTGCACACCTGTACTCTACTCATCTACTCACCAGTCCCAGAAAAGACATGTGACTCTCGTGCCCACCTCTACTCTACTCACCAGTCTCAGAAAAGACATGTGACTCTCGTGCCCACCTCTACTCTACTCACCAGTCCCAGAAAAGACATGTGACTCTCCTGCCCACCTCTACTCTACTCCTCTACAACATAGTCAAAAAACTGCTGATGGTAAAAATCGTAATAAATCGTCTTACGATCGGAATTTCGTAGTGAGGCAAAAAATCGTAATGATTACGAAAAAACCTGAATGGTTGGCAGCCCTGCTACAACTCTACTCACCAGTCCCAGAAAAGACATGTGTCTTTCACGCCCACCTCTACTCTACTTCTCTACACCTCTACTCACCAGTCCCAGAAAAGACATGTGACTCTCGTGCCCACCTCTACTCTACTCCTCTACACACCAGTCCCAGAAAAGACATGTGTCTCTCATGCCCACCTCTACTCTACTCCTCTACACCTCTACTCACCAGTCCCAGAAAAGACATGTGTCTCTCACGCCCACCTCTACTCAACTCCTCTACACCTCTACTCACCAGTCCCAGAAAAGACATGTGACTCTCGTGCCCACCTCTACTACTCCACTCCTCAACAACTCTACTCACCAGTCCCAGAAAAGACATGTGACTCTCGTGCCCACCTCTACTCCTCTACAACTCTACTCACCAGTCCCAGAAAAGACATGTGTCCGTCGGTGCCCGTCACGTTGTTGGAACGGTACTGCTTCTCCCCGCTCAGAGACAGGAGCACACCCGGCAGAGGCTGGCCAGACTCATCCAGCATCTAATGGGGGGGAAGGGGGGGGGGGTGTGCAGGAGTTGCGGGAGGGGAGGGGGTAGGAGGAGAGAAGAAGGGGGGTAGGAGGAGGAGGAGGGGAGAGAAGAAGGGGGTAGGAGGAGGGGAGAGAAATAATGAACACAACCAATAAAGCGATACTGTACTTTACCATTAAAAACTTTATCAATGACAAACAACACACTCACATGTACACCACATGACACACTCACCTGTACATCACAAAACCACATGACACATTCACCTGTACATCACAAAAATGCATGGCAAACTCACCTGTACATATGACACACTCACCTGTACATCATAGAAACACATGACACACACACTCACCTGTATATCAAAAAACCACATGACATATTCACCTGTATATCACAAAAACACATGACACATTCACCTGTACATCACAAAAACACATGCCACACTCACCTGTACATCACAAAACCACATGACACACACTCACCTGTACATCACAGAAACATATGACATACACTTACCTGTACATCACAGAAACACATGACACACTCACCTGTACACAACAGAAACACATGACACACTCACCTGTACACAACAGAAACACATGACACACTCACCTGTACACCACAGAAACACATGACACACTCACCCGTACATCACAGAAACACATGACACACTCACCCGTACATCACAAAACCACAGGACACATTCACCAGTGCACATGACACACTCACCTGTACATCACAAAAACACATGACACACACACTCACCTGTACAGAGATCTCCCCCAGCTTGAAGGCCTGGAATGACATCTCCTTGCCCTTGACCTGCGACATGACATAGCCCTCCTTCTGAGCCGCCACGGCGTACTGGCGGTCTGCGTGCAGCGGGCCAACCCTGGGGACACACAAGACACAGATTCAAACATAATAGAAAGAAAGAGTCAGAGAGACACAACAGCAGGCTGCCAACCCATCTCCATGGTTCTTAGTAATGACCATGAAGAAAATTACTAGTTTTCCATAAAAATTCTTAATAGTCTTCTCATTTTCAAATTGCAATATTACAACGAACAATGCTTCTACTCGTGTACGGTGTTACTATTGCGCGCAAAGTGGGCCAGCTGTTCCTTTATTTTTAGGGGGGTGGGGTTGATTTAGAGATTGGCGGTTTTCCGACTATTGGCGGAGGACGATTTACAGGTCTGTACTAAGACTTGTAAAATAAAAAAAAGAGCCAAAAATTATTTTTTTTATAGCCAAAAATTTGGTGACGGTAAAAATCGTAATAAATCTCCTTACGATCGGAATTTCGCAGTGAGGCTAAATAATCGTAATCATTACGAAAAAACCCCGGAAAGCTTGGCAGCCCTGCAACAGCAGCATTTCTCCCGACACAGTCAAAGACACACAACAGCAGCTTTTTGGTTTGTTGGTTGTTTTTTTTTTTTTTTGTGTTTTTAGTTTTAGTAAGAGTTTTACAGCACTGGCAACACAATAAGCTCATTTAAGTGCCAAAGATTAGAGGTGTTACAAGGGAGTACCAAACAAGGAGGGGAGATAAAGACGATAGACGTTTGATAGGAAAGAAGGAGCAAACCACACCAGGAGCACCCGCCAACCACCCACAGAGTTGGGTTTTTTTTTCCTTTTTGAGTAAAGAGAAGCATTTCAATACAATAACAGTCATTTACTGTAGTGAAAAAAGCTGACAGACTGGTGGATAAAACAGGAATTGTATAGAAATAGAACCTACAAAATGCACCCTCCAACCACCCCCTGAGCAGAAGAGAAGCACAATAATAGAAACTTACAGTATCATTGGAGTCACGAGGCAATGGAATCAGGCACTGGTCAATTTTTGGGTCTATGGAATTATTGGAAATATCTTAAAGCCTGTTCACTCGCCTTCCTTTTGGTGAAAAAAATATT